TATAATATAACCTTTTACTTATATTATAATATCTTATTTAAAATATTAGAATTATATATTTTATATTATATAATATAGTATTATTTTATAATATAGAATATTAAATATATATAGGTATGTATATATACCCTTTTCGCTATATGACTATAACAGGTTATATTATACAATAGTATATATACGTATATGCTGGCTAGTTGGTTCTCTTTTTATCTTAGTAGATATCTTTATCACTAGGCGAACTCTATTCTGTCTCCGGATAACCCTTTACGAGCGCGTATTACACTTTCTAATAATTTCTAGACTCCTTCTATTATACGAGGTAAATACTTTAACCTAGAACCTCTACGCGATAAGATATATCGCTGCTACGAAGAGGGTTATACCGATTAGGCTTTATACTGTTTTGTGGAAGAGTAGATAGATAGAGCGGTAACACGCTAGACCTTATAGCGTCGTTATAAGATATAGGGCTTATGTAGAGAGACTTATACGCTTATTACTGATAATCTTATTCGCCGTATTCACACGCTTTTCTTTAATATTCTTAACGACGATAAGATACTCTATTAGCTTTAAGCCGAAGGCTTCTAGATCTTAAGGAAAGGTCTTAAATAAATCTATAGATATTAGCGCCTTTAAAGACGTTAAGATATAGAATAAATCGAAGCCGAACGCTAGCGTATAGAGCTATTCTTCGAAAAGAAAGACCTTACGATATTATTTATAAGAGGCCTAGGTAAAGTATAGCTCTACACGTTTATATGCTAATAAGGTTTTATTATTAGCGTACACGAGCTATACCGTATATTTATAGAACTATTTCCTAAAGACGTGGCGGTAAGGTATAAGGAGATACGCTACCGTCGAAAAGGCTAAATAACGCCGGGACCTAATTTTATTTAGTCTATAGATACGTACGATAAGTTATTACCCTTCGGCTTTAAAATATACGCAGGGATAAACGCGTACTTAAGGTTTATAACTTAGTTTGATATAGGCGTATCCGCGTATATATCTAAACATATACTTACTTAGTATATAAAGGTTATTTAGTAAGTTAGCTTTATCCTATAATTAATCCATTCCGATTAAGGTAAAGAAACCACGCTTATAGCCGGCGGCTATTAGTTTCTTTCCACCGGCTCTTATATAAAGTTAAATCCTACTGGATAAGAGGTTTTAATTAAGTTTAAAGATTACTAGGTATTTAGTAAAAGTATCTATAATTAACGGATTAAATTATAGTAGAATAGACTTTACTAATCTCGCGCGGCTTTTTAGCGTGTAAGTATCTAGTTCTTTTTCTATTTTTAGCACTTTTTACTAATTCTTCTAGGAATTCTTTATTTATCTTTCCGAACACGGCCTTTTCGATCTTTATTCTATTATCGATAAAATTACCCTTCTTTACGTCTATATACCTCTAATTTGGACGGATTTTACCCGCTTTATATAAGTGTATAACTACTATATAATTCGTGCCTAACTATCTACACTATATATCGTAAACGGAAAGCCTTAGGCCTTTTACTACTAGAGTAGTCCTAACCTTTACGTTCGGGTTAATCCTATACGGCTTTATATACTAGAAAACGTTCTTATAGATAAGCTAGTAAGCCTTAACTAATATCTTCTATAAACAATAATAGAAATTTATAGTAGTATAGAAGCTATAGCGATAGGTCTACTAGAAATTCTTACTATAAAAGGTAAGTAATATCCTTCGCTGCCTTTATACGAGTATATATAAAAGGGGTTATACTTATACGATTAGGAGAAGAAAGAACCCGTTCTTATAATACTTTCTACGCTATAGGGTAGTATTACTTCGGTTAAAGAGTTTTTTAGAAATAAGGGGATTAGAACTAAGGATTTAGTAGTAGATAAAATTATAAATAATAGAGATTATAGCGAATAAATAATTTAAATTTTCTGTCTTCTAACTATTTATAAATATATTTACCCTATTAATCTATTTCGCCTTTTACTTTCGAGATTATACGCTTCCGTCTAGCCGAAGATAATACTATTCGGTCGCATAGATCTATTATTAAGGCCGGTATAATAACTTTACGAGATTAGCGCGGCTTTTATTCCACCGGTTCTTTATTTTCTTCTTTTAATTCCACTTATTTATCATTTTCTTACTTTAGTTCTATCTATTCCTCTTTTCTTTTCTTTAGCTCCGGTTAGCTAGTATTAGCTAGCTATAATCCTTCTTACTCTGTATCGGTAGCCTTTCCTTTACCTTTATTCTTTTCCGCGCAAGGCAGTTTAGTGATTTCTTTCTTTACCGTAATTAGAATATTATCTTCTTCCTCCGGCTCTTTTTATATAGTTATTTTTCGGCCCGCGCGCTTACGAGAAATATTAGAGTTAACTTAGTCGGCTTTAACTTCCGTTATACAAAGAAAGCTAAGATAAACTTCTTTTAAAAGTCGAATTCTAGACTCACGTAGTAACGTATATAAAGTGATAGTTATATATATCTTATTTCGATAAAAGTTAACTTTTTACCGGTTTTTATTATTATAGGGGAAAACTATAAGGTCTTAGTCGAATTATTTCTTCTTTATATTAAACTATATAATAATATAACGTATAAGATCTTAATATATAGATAATACTAGGTTAAGTAAAATAGTAACTTAGCCTATAACCTTTTATCCGAGTATATTTATAAATTTTTAAAAGAAGATACCGCCGCTTAAGACTATAGTACTCGCCGCTATATAATATAATACTAATTTCCTTTATCGGCGTGGGTTACTTTTCCTTATTAGTTTACGCGATACTAACTTTTCGCTCCGTTTTACTAAGCCGTAGCGCCCGTATTAGTATTTAACCTTACCGGGCTTTAAGCGCCTGCACGGCCCTGGTTTCTGTCTTAGGCTTTTATTCCTTTTTAGGTAGTATTAATTTAATTAAATTAATAATAGACCTATCCAAAAGGCCGATAAAGTTTCTTTTTTAACCCGGCTAATAGTATTAGGAGATATACTATAGCTTAGGTAGACCGCCTAATAGGGATTTCGATTAAATAGAAGTGTATATTTAATATTCAGAATAGGGCAGAGTAAAAAGACGTCCTCCGTTATTATATCGATAGTAAGATTATCGCGTTAAATTATTTATAATAGAAAGATACTGCTAGTAAGTACTATAAATACTTACGCAAGATTATATAATAGCTTTTAAGATAATTATATTTATACGGGCTTTAGATATAAGAGCCAGTAAGTAAGCTAAATACTTATGCGGTATTATATAGCAGGTTATAAGAAATTCTTATTTATATAGGTTTTATACGTAATAGTTATAGACGAAATCATTAACTTACTATTTACTATATTCTGATATATAAAGGTAAATAGTACTACTAAGCCTACCTAGTAATACGTTATTACTATTTTTAGAAGTTATTATAGTGTCCCCTGCGGTATACGGTAAAAGTCGCCAGAAGTCTTATGTAATCTGAAGGATGACTCACTAAACCGTTGCCCGTTGCACTGCCTGATTGCCTGCCAAGCCCGTATGATCGCCACTGACTAACGGGCAGTACCTTAGTAATAACGGCCAATAGAACGTTCCGTTCATACAGGGTCGGTACATACGAAGTAGAACGCAGGTTCAGATTGTGTATGAAAATACCCGCAAGAACATGTACGGGCAGTGAGTCAATCTGCTGGGATGATGGTGATGAGACGCCTCGTCCATAATTAATTACCCAGCAGTCTGTGTGGTTTATCGGTTCTTAGCCTGCGAGTAATTAATGGTCCAGTTTTCCTGTGAGTGCCGGTCTTTGATTCTTGCCAAGCGATTACTCTTATAAGCTGTGGAAATGAGATTCGAGATGGGACTCAATGGGAGTGTCATGGCCTAAAATGTCACGTGTGAGGTCTCGGTAGTCAAACGTGAGGTCCCTTCAAGATTCCAGGTACTCAGACTAGGTAGTAAGCTACCTTAACCTAAGGTACCTACCAGCATAGCGGAACACGTCCGTCGTACTAACCCGATCCTTATACCGACCCAGGACTTGTTAAAGAAGAAAAGAAGAAAAAAGGCTCGTCTTATTGCGTTGCCCAGAAAAGGGAGACGAGAAACCAGATGAGCGAGACTTGGAAAGATATGCTGGGCTTCTTCTATTCGAGACATGTCTCTCCCTCCCTTTCTCTCTTCGGTGGGTGGATGCGGCATTTGGCAGTATCATTGACTTGGCGTAGATTACCTTATCATAACACGCCACACACCCGCAGGCCGCCTCCACATTCATAGACCACCGTCAGCATATAACGTACGCGGAATAGGTAAACAGAGGCGGGATTGACTGCAATTGTTCTGCCTGGTGGGGTGAGGGTTTTACAGGATGCATGGAGTATGTATGTAAGGTAAGATAGGCGCCTAACCGGCAGATATCCAGCTTACCGATACGGAAGGACGGAAAATCCTCCAGACCGACCAACTAGGGAGGTGAATCACTTGTAAATAATTATGGATGATTTCGAGTCGTCTCTATGCAATGGCTCAATGGCCACGGTATGCACGTCCAAGGGTGGTCGATATACGCCTATTAATGAAGAAGCATTATTTTACGCCACCAAAGCGCTCTCGTAACGCGGCGTGCAACTGTCCAAAAACACCAGCATGCCACGTCCGAACCTCCTCCCACTCGCTCTCCGGCAACGTCTTGCTCATCATGCGCAACCACCCGCCGACAATAACGTCCGCATAGGAAGGCCGGCCCCCCAGCAAGAACGGGCCCGTCGCATCCCGCTGAAACATAGCGGCCAAGTCACGCAGGGCGTCCCGCAGGGAGACTTTTAGCTTGTCCCGCGCCTCGCCGGCGATGGCCAAGTCGTCCCAAGACTGCGCCCCGGTCCTCCGCATGAACTCCGCCTTGATCCGGTCCTCGTACGCCGGGTCCCAGCGCATCCCGTGCGCCATGAGCTGGGCGTGCATGGTGAAGGCCATGTCGACGTTGGCGTTGAAGCGGGCGTAGTCCGCGTGGAGGTCGTCGTCGTCGCGCTCGGAGAGCGGGATGGCGATGGTCCCGTGGAACTCGAAGCCGAGGTTCTGCGGCGGGAAGAGGTCGCCGGCGCCTGCGTCCGGGAAGGTGATTTGTAGGTGGTTGGCGATGTCGAAGGAGTCGCCGATAGCGGACCCGGTGGTGGAGTCGGTCAGGGCGGGGAGGGTGTAGAAGTCGGTGCCGTCTGCGAATTTGCGGCACGCTGGCAGGCCCAGGCTGCGTCGGACGGTGGTGATGTCAGGCATTTGGATCCATTGTGTCGTATAGGGGACGCCCTTGAAGTTGAGGGCGTATCGTGCCTTCCAGGGGTTCGGGGCACAGGTGTTTTCCTCGTAGGGCGGTGCGAAGGCGATGTCGTACAAGACGAGACCCGAGGAGTTGGTAGGGCTGGTACCGCTAGTGGCGTCTGTTGTCATGGCCGTATCTATGTATATGGGGATATCTGTTGTATTATTGGGCGGTATATGTCTCGAGTATCGGTAGAGATTTCCTATCCGGGTTGGTGGCTGAAAGTGCTCTCGACCTTGATGACAAGAAACGTCCGACGTCCAACACCGCGACATACACGTTCAGATACCACGTCTGCCCCGAGTGGCGGGAATAAGGTACTTTATTCAACAGGAACAAGTGACAGTTGACATCATAGGTAACCCGATGACTCGCTTGCCCAGGGCGAATACGTTGTACATACAACGTATACAACGTACCTTGATCAACGGTGGTACGAGGTAGCGTGCATCGTAGCGTGCATCGTAAGCGCAAGGTACCTTGCACACAACGTAGAGGACCGTACCACAACTAAGGTAGCCACAGTCCGTCGCCATTACCTAGTCGTTTTTAGTCACCTTCAGACCCTGCCGTACGTGTACTAGCGTACACTAATTTCTCCCATAATCGGTAATTAACACATCCGTGCGTTCGACCCACTAAAACCATGCCCCATTTTCCATCGTGCTCCCAGGGGTCAACTCGTCAACTCGTCATCTTTGTCCCACCACACCACACTCCGAGTGTCGTCCCTCCCCACATCCCACATCCCCCACATCCTGCCAGTTCTCCCAGCATTCAAAAGATGTTATTTGTCACTTACTCTGTCACCAGACGGTTTGGACTGGGCAGGCCGTTAAGGGACGGGGCCGCGGTTGTGTTGTTGCATTGAGGCTGGCCGGAAAACGCAAAAAGGGCAGCTGCGATACAAAAATGGTCTAACAATCGAACCATCGAAGCGTTTACGGCAGCGTGGCAGCGTACGGAGTAGCGCGCATCATGGGAGTCCACCAACTTTGCAACGTTGACGGTAGATGCCCGAAGTGAGCGTGTTGCCAACCTTGTGTTGACTCCAACCGCCTAGCAGACACGGAATCACACCACGGACGCTTCTGTGATGCTGCGTGCTGCGTGCTGCGTCCCTCTCCCGCTTCTGAGTCCTTCTGCGGCTCCTCGGATGGTTTCTCGATTTCTCATCGCAGTCTCGCCTTGCCTTGCTTACCTTTCCCCTTTTGAATTGCAGGGCGAGACTGGGTGACATCGTCTCTTGACATCACTCGAGGGAGAAAGAAAAGAAAAAAAAAAGGAAAAAAAAAAGAAGAAAAAAAAGGAAATGAAATGAACGGACGAGAATTAATTATTTTTAGCGTGCACTGCCCGCAACTCGGACCCCTTATTAAGACTCTCCCTCCTTTTCAACTGGAGCCAATCCAGACACCGAGCCCCCACCCCTGCTTCTCGCATTTGGACCCTTAGAGGGGTGATCCCTTCTGAGGTGGAGGGAGGGGCTCTCGTCTTGGGGTCTGTCTTGGGTTCTTGCGGGCCCTGGAGCCCTGGACATGGCGGCTCGGCCACTTTCTCACGCCTTTCTCACATCCGGAACCAGAGGGACCGACTAGGCCGGAGACCCCCCTGACCTTGCAGCCAACCAATATCTGTCGGTACGCGTGCGTGATACGCGACATCTTTCAACTAAGCCCAGTCCATTCACCGCGTCTCGTATTACTATATTTCTTTTCCTACCTCATGCTCTTTTCGGGGGCATTCTGCCTGCATCATTCCGAGATGCGAATACAACGCACGATCTTGGCCGTCCTTTTGTGGTTTCTTGGCCACACCACCCGCCATCGTCTGAACCACGCTTCTCACCATGGGCTGCCGCTATTGGAATTGTGGCTTGGATTGCCACTTCTTCCCAGAGAAGGTGGGGGAGGGGGCGTTGAAGCCAGGGTGAACGATGGGATGGGCCTCTCGTCGTGCTCATCCACCTCTACGGAGTACTCCGTACGCACAGCTCCCGCTTCAGCCTTCCGACGGTTTCCCCTTTTGGGCGTTCAATCTGCTCTTATTATTGCCTTATCATTTTTCGAAACCCCCTTCCAGCGTGTAAGTACGACGTACCGACACGCCGTTCGATTCTCCTTTTGGCGCCGTTTCGTATTGGTCAATTATTTTCCGTCCTTCGCTCAAAGATCGATAGAACCCCGCCACGTCCGTCTGCTTACACGAGGTATCCCCGTCTCGGAACCCCGTCAGGAGGTCTTGGTTCTGGTTGCTGGGTCCTTGGGAGGGAGCTTGCCTGTGCTGCTGTCCGAAGCCTTTGCGAAATATTCATCACCTTTTTTTTTTTTTTTGTAGTTATAAACATAATTAGCCTCACTCTCCCCGCCGTTCTTTTCTTTCGTTGAACCCTCTTCTCCCGCACCCGGTTCGCCTCCCCTGTTTTGCGATCTCTTATCGCTGCCACTCGTTTATTGTTTTGTTGCTTAGTCTTCCTCGTTGGAAGATTCTCGTGGTCTTCGCGACCCCCTTCTTCACCATGAAGACCACGCATCTCTCGCTCGCTTTTCTATCCTCGGCGGCTGTCGCCAATGCTGCCGTCGCCCGTGTCGCCAAGCGGGATGCCCCCGAGACCATTGATGGAGGATGGGAGTACCAAGGCTGCTACATGTACGGAGCCCCCTCCTATGAACCATGGACCTTCTCCCCCGTCCGTGTCGTGTCGTCATGTTCTCGCAACACCTCTTTCGGTGTCGTCCGTGCAAAACAACAACTAACATGCCCAATGCAGCGATGTCGCTGGTCGGACTCTCACTGGTCCTTCGCTAGCTTCGGCCGAGATGACCAACGAAGTGTGCGCCGAGTTCTGTGCTGACAATGGCTTCTCCTACGCTGGAACGGAGTGGTTCCACGAATGCTGTATGTCTCCCGCTACTCCTGCCTATTCTGTTCTGTTTCCCTCAGAGGCTCTTCTTTGCTAATGTCGTGCCTTGTTCTCGAACAGACTGCGGCAACTCTCTCGCTCCTGGAGGCATCCTCGCCAACGAGGCCGATTGCAACACCCCTTGCGCCGGCGACTCCGCCCAGCCATGTGGTGGCGGCAACAGGCTGACCCTGTATTTCAACGAGGGCGTCACCGGCCCCGGTGTCAATCCTGGTGTTGATGGTTGGGAGTCGATGGGCTGCTACACCGAGGGCACAACAGGGCGCACCCTGACCCACGGCGTCGGCAGCATTCCCGGCGCCGAGATGACCGTGGCTAAATGTGTAGCGGCTTGCGAGACCGCCGACTTCATCCTGGCCGGCGTCGAATACGGAGGCGAATGCTGTGAGTAGTGTTTCCTTTCTCTTCTCTCCTCTTCTTTCTGGCGGTGCCAGTTGGCCCGGTGGGAGCTGTGTCAGACTGACGAGAAACAACGCAGACTGTGGAAACAGCATCCAGAACGGCGGCGCACCCTCCGAGAATGGTTGCAACATGCTTTGCAATGGCAACTCGACCGAATACTGCGGCGGCCCCGGCCATCTGAACATCTACAACTTTGAGAACAGTTACGAGCCGCCGTCTGCTACAGCTACAGGTGCTCCTTCTGCGCCTGTTTCTGCGCCTGCTTCTGCTTCTGTTTCTGCTTCTTCCGTCCCCTCTTCCGTCGTCCCCGGCGCGCCGACCGAGGTGGACCCTGAGCATCCGGAAACCATCGGATCCTACAACTGGTACGGGTGTCAGACCGAAGGCACTGGGACCCGTGCCCTGTCCGCCAAAACCTTCGCCGACGACGACATGACGCTCGCCGCCTGCGAGGCCTTCTGCGACGGATACACCTTCTTCGGCACCGAGTACGGCCGCGAATGCTACTGCGGCAACCAGTTCAACACCGGCTCCCAACCGGCCCCGGAGTCCGACTGCAACATGCCTTGTGGCGGTAGCCCCTTGGAGTTCTGCGGCGCCGGCAACCGACTGTCCGTGTACGCTCTGGAAGGCGCTGCGCCGCAACCCTCCGACTCGCCCATCCCGTCCCCGTCGGCGCTCCCATCCGAATCGGACGTCTCGGCAACCACCACCGGTCCCGCCGTACCGGCCCCAACCGACTATCCCAGCGGCTGGGAAGAGCACGGCTGCTGGGTCGACGCAGTGGCCGGCCGCATCCTCGCCCACCAAGGGCCCGACGACCAGACCCTGACGCTGGGGAAGTGCGCCCACTACTGCTACGACCTGGGATATCGCCTGGCCGGCGCCCAGTACCACCACCAGTGCTTTTGCGGTAACGAGATCATCAACGGCGGCGTTGAGGCTAACAGCGAGTCCGAGTGCAACACGCCCTGCGCTGGCAATAGTGCCCAGATGTGTGGCGGCCCTGCCCGCATGCTGATTATTTCCGACGGCCCCCCCGACGCCTTCGCGCCCCCCGAGGCGCAGAAGAGCGGCTTCAACGGCGACTGGACGTACCAGGGCTGCGTGCAGGGCATCGTAGACGGCGGCGCCCGCACCTTCTTCTGGCAGAACTTCATGCCGGGCGTCATGACTGCCAATACGTGCCTCGACCGCTGCGCCGAGTATGGCTACATGGCCGCCGGTCTCGAGTACGGCCAGGAATGCTACTGCGGTGATCCGGCCAACATCGACGTGATGGGCGCCGCGTTCCGTCCCGAATCCGAGTGCAACGTCCTCTGCGCCGGCAACCAGTCGTCCATCTGCGGCGGCGGTTCCCGCATGTCGACCTATTTCTGGACCGGCGACCCGCTCTACTCCTGGGACTTCCCCCAGGACAGGACCGAAGCGGGCGAGTACGAGCTCCTCATCGGAGGCGTGGTGATCCCGCTGATCACGATGGAGTCCATCACCGGCAAGGTCTCTTTCTTGGAGAAGTGGGGCACGGGTCCCATCAACTCGACCGGTGCCTACGAGCTCGACCTCTCCCTCGTGCCGGACTTTGACCGGGCCTGGCGTGAGATGCACGTCCGCACCGACTTGTTCTGCGCCGCGGGCGTGACCCTCCCCGACAAGGCCGGACGCCAGCTGACGGTGGGCGGCTGGTCGGGCGAATCGACCTACGGCGTCCGGCTGTACTGGCCCGACGGCTCGGCCGGCGTGAACGGCACGAACGACTGGGAGGAGAACGTCAACGTTCTGTCTCTGCAGGACGGGCGGTGGTACCCCACGGCGATGATCATGGCGAACGGGTCCATCTTCGTCATCGGCGGCGAGGAAGGGTCGAACGGGGCGCCGGTGCCGACGATCGAACTGCTGCCCTCGACCGGGACGGCGCCGCTGTACATGGACTGGCTCGAGCGGACCGACCCCAACAACCTGTACCCGTTCTGCGCGGTGCTGCCGAGCGAGGACATCTTCGTGGCGTACTGGAACGAGGCGCGCATCCTCGACAAGACGACGTTCGAGACGCGGACGGAGCTGCCCAACATCCCCGGCGCGGTCAACAACCCGATGGGCGGGCGCACGTACCCGCTCGAGGGCACGGGGGTGCTCCTCCCGCAGCACGCGCCGTACGACGAGCCGCTGGGGATCCTCATCTGCGGCGGGTCGACGGAGGGCGCCAGCACGGCGCTGGACAACTGCGTGACGATCTACCCGGAGGCGGACGAGCCGGAGTGGGTGCTGGAGCGGATGCCGTCGCGGCGCGTCATCTCGTGCATGGCGCCGCTGCCGGACGGGACGTACCTGATCAACAACGGCGCGCAGCAGGGCGTGGCCGGGTTCGGGCTGGCGCAGAACCCCAACCTCAACGCGCTGCTCTACGACCCGACGCGGCCCGTCGGCGCGCGCATCACGGTCATGGCCAACACGACGATCCCGCGCATGTACCACTCGGAGTCGATCACGCTCCTCGACGGCCGCGTGCTCGTGTCCGGGTCCGACCCGGACGACGGCGTCCACCCGCAGGAGTACCGCGTCGAGGTGTTCAACCCGCCGTACCTGACGCGCGGCCTCCCGCGGCCGACCTTTACGCTGGAGAACACGGATTGGGAGTACGGCGAGGCGGTCAGCTTTACGCTCGGCGGGGTGGCGGTGAATGGCGACATTGAGGTGTCGCTGCTGGGCGCGGTGTCGTCGACGCACGGCAACTCGATGGGCGCAAGGACGATCTTCCCGGAGGTGACGTGCGAGGGGACGAGCTGTACGGTTGTGGCGCCGCCGACGGCGGGTATCTGCCCGCCTGGGTGGTACCAGTTCTTTGTTCTTGATGGCGGCATCCCGGCGGTGGGCGTGTATGTGCGGATTGGTGGCGATCCGGCCGAGTTGGGTAACTGGCCTAATGCGCCTGGATTCGCTCTCCCGGGGGTGTAGGTTGATGGATTTTTTTTTTCTTTTTCTTTTTGCCTTTTCTTTTTTTGACTTGCTCCATTCTCTATCTTTTCCTATTTTCTAAATTATCTTTACCCCCCTCATCTTCCTGGGTTTCCTTTCCCCCATTCTATTGGGAGGTCTATTTTTTATTCTTATTTTCCCATGAGAGCCAGCCCGGGATCTGTCACTTGGAGAGAATCATGACCGGATAAGTAGTGTCCGGGTCGATATAGCATTATTAATTTCCTTCCCTTTCGGAATAAGGGACATACGTCGCCCAGGGGAAACGATGACATGATATACACACTTTCACATTCATATTCGTTGTTGACTGTATGTAGGATCCGTTGATTCGGGATTTGTCCATTCCGGGTTGCCAGCAACGGGTGCTACCGAGACTGGGACCTGGCCGAAGGTCGGTAACGTTCGCGGTATTCGTCAACCTACTCGTGTTTGGCGAAACTGTCGGCTGTGTCAGAAGATGTGGTCGAGGAGTCAAGGTCAAAGCGGCGTCTGGTCAGGGCGGAGAGAGAGGTTGGGTAAGTTGGCTTCACGGACGATCCGGTTTCACTACGGGTATCTTTCTTTCTTGCCATGTGAGATACATATAAGAAAATACAAAAGGCGAGATGTATACCAGGGCTGTGCTTGCGGTGACGATAGTTTACAAGCTGACCCGTGCGGGGGGGGGGATCGATGGGTCGTGCGTCTCTTGGACGAATACTAAGAATCTATTTTGTTTCGGAGGTTGGTGTTTTGTTTGAAGATGTAGATCTTGCGGCTGAGCCTACGAGGTGCGAGGTGCGAGGTGCGATGCTGGGGAATCGTGTTGACGGGGGGCTGAGATGGTGTCACAAGATGGGTGAGGCGTCGAATACATTCTCGTGTTAGTGGTGTCACTGCAGGTAAGGGAGCACAGATTCCATATACTTGATGCAAATGCCCTGCAGAGAGAATAAGTGGGAGGAGTGGGAGGAGAGGCTGGGGAGGACTTGTACATGTCTGTCGACTACGACTGTCGATGTCTGGTATAAGAGAAGCTCCTGGGATGAAGAGACAGACAGGTAAAGGCGAAAAAAAAAAAACGAAAAAAAAAAAAGAAACCAAAGGAAAAGGAAACTAAAACAAAAGAAAGACAAAAGAGAAGACTGGACGAAACGCATACACCAATAGTGTGAGATTCAGGTGGTGTCTCTTGGGTCTTGGCCTTTGTCTTTGAAGCGCCAACGCTTTGCGCCAGTGGGATGCAGGGTCAATGGGCTGGCGCTTAGGGAGTCCAGGGTAGCGGATATGCCGGTCTGCTAATAGCATGCCGAGACATGAATAAAGAAGAGGGAGAAAAGGGGGGGAGATGCGTTCGTAGGACAGATCACGATCACTGGTAGGCGCTTCTTCGCTTCGTCCACCCTGCTCTACCCCTGCCTAAGCATCTACGACAGCTACAACGTACGTTGTAAGCCACTTGCTTGGCTCTGGTGTAAAGCCCGTCTGTCTTTCCATCTGTCTGCCCCTTCTTCTGTGCATTCAGGGCATCATATGATATATCTACCATCTACTGCTGCCACGCCGCTTTCATCAACTTCATACAACAAAGCCCTGCACCTCTCCTGTCCTCTCGGTTCCCCCGGCCAACCCTTGTCCTCCCTCCTTTCCCTTTACACGTAATTAGCCGCCTGCCATATTTCCTCCCCACTTCCTATGTGATCGGCGCTTCGTTTCCCAGTCTACCCCTGTCTTACTCACTACCCATCCAACAACAAAGCGCGTCTTCCCACTTGATCCCCGTCCAGGTGGTAGTTTGATGTCACTGAACCACTTTTCTTCGGCAGCCTCGTTCCATCTCTTGCCATCTTTGCCCTTGAACGGCATTTCCTGTGCTACCTAGCTAGAGGGAAAGGCTGGGAGGTGGTAATTACTTTAGGAGTCTGCTCCCACTTTCCCACCCAACGTCCTCCATCCTTTCTATTTTTTTCATCGTCCTCCTCCTCGTCGTCCACTGTCCCATCTTCAACGGGTCTCACTCTCATCCGCTCCCCGTACAATTGGCCGGATTCCATTCTTTTCTCGTTTTGGACCGACCTATTTCGCCGACCATACCGCGACAGTCTTCACACCGGCAGTGGAACAGTCGAACAGTCGAACCCCAGCCTCAAAATGCGGTCCCAGTCTATCCTGCCGGTCCTCATGGCCGCGGCCATTGGACATACTGTTGCCCAGGAGGAGGAGCGCGTTACCGGGGTATGTACTACTGACGCACCAAAAGAAGAAGAAAAGAAAAAGAAAGAAAGAAAAGAAAAAGAACAAAAAAGCTGACCCCTTCCCTCCCCAGGAACTCGGCGACGCCCAAATCGTCAGCGGCAACCCCCCCGGCCTAGTCTACGAAGCCGTCCTACCCGAGGAACCCTGGGCCTCAGGCCTGAGCATGCAAGGCAACGTCAAGGGCTCCATCGTCGCCGCCTCGGCCCCCGACGGCGTCGGCGTCGAATTCCGCGTCCGCTTCTCCAACCTCCCCACCTCCGACGGCCTGCTCTCCTACCACCTCCACGCCGCCCCCGTCCCCGAAGACGGCAACTGCACCCAGACCCTGGCCCACCTGGACCCGTACATCCGCCGGGGCTCGCCCCCGTGCGACGCCTCCGCCCCGGAGACCTGCGAGGTGGGCGACCTCAGCGGGAAGCACGGCCTGATCGACCCGGCCGGTGGTGCTTTCGAGGCCGTGTACGTCGACGAGTTTGCGTCGCTCATCGAGGGCCAGGGCGCGTTTTTCGGGAACCGCAGTTTTGTGTTGCATCTTGCTTCCGACTTGACGCGGGTGACGTGCGCCAATTTCGTGCTTCGCGCTGGCGGGTCGCCGGTGCCGTCGCCGCCGCCGGGTAATTGCTCTGATGCGACGCCGCCGCCGCCGGCGGCGTCTTCGTCTTCGTCGCTTCTGGGCCAGCCTTCTGGCGTGCCTCCCCCGACTGGCGTCATTCCTTCGTCGTCCCCCGTGCCCACGGGCAGTTTGGTGCCGGTGCCGACTGCTGCGGGTGCCGTGAGCGCCGTGCCGTTGACCTTGCTGGGTGTTGTGGCCCTGGGCGCACTTTTCGGCATGTAAGGGGGTGAGAAAGTTGGAACCGCCACCCTTACCACCCGTTTGCTACATCATGGAGGGACGGCTGGTCGGGGAATGTAGGAAGAAGAAAGGGGAACAATAATGACGATGATGGCTGATGCGTTCGTTGCTGGATAGATGGGTGCATGGGTAGACGGTCTACTCTTTTCTTTCTTTATTTTCTTCTTCCCCATCTTGTACAAATGTACCAGGGATTCATTCGGCCAAGGGAGCATCTCTTCTACAGAGAAGACGGGAGAGGAATAACAGGACAACCGACCGCAAAACGGCAATACCCAGACAGACCACTTGGCACAGAGGGAAGGAAGCAGGAACAAATATGTATAACGTAGTTGGTCTCAGGGAGCGAAAAGGAATACATAGGGCCTTTTCGCGTCTTGACGATCCTCAAGATAATGCAGAAGATGAACGACAGTTTTGCTGTGACGGCTTGCAAACGTGAAATCGTCGGTTGATCATTCCGCGATCCTGATCCATACCTAATCCGACATGGCAGAAATAACCAGCAGCGTAGCATAGTCCTCGCATCTGGGCGAAAGGGGCAGTGTCACCAAGACGAAGGATGAAATTGGTGAAATCTTCAAGGACAAGGACAAGGACAGGGGCAGGGATTGGGTTTGGGCATTGGTACGGATACTTGGATCTGCTATCAAGGAGTACAACGAAAATTGTATGATAGGCTGAGAATGCGAAGCTCATTCACGTACTATCTGTTAAGAATACATTCGGCCCTGACACCTCCACAGGTGCACTGTGACTGGTCGATTTCGCTTCATTGGACCCACCGTCAGCACCGTCGTCTTGGCAGGGGAAGCCATAGGGCGGAGCAGAATCTCGACCACTCAAAGCGTGACCAATGAGACGACAGAACCCTGCTGACTGAGCCGCGTGCTGCTGAAAATAGAAATTGGCGTGGCACGATTCCAGAAATGCAGCGTCGCTTCTTCAATCTGCCACAGCCACGCGCCTCTTTCGTTTCCCATTCGCTTCCGCTGCCCCTTGTCTCGTACGTTGTTGTCTTAGTCTCTGCACTGCAATCCTTCGAGACGTTGGAAACGGCCCTTAATTTAGGGGCCCTTGAGGCTGGGTAATGGACGCATGGACGTGGAAGACAAGACCCTTGGCTTCCTGTCTTCTTTTGGCTCGTCTTTGCTCTGACTCGCGTTTTGATATAAGCAGGCTCGTCCCTAGTTCATCGTCAGACACAATCGTACTCGGGACGTTGTGCGTATTAATTAGTCTTGATATTCATCTGTTGTGTCCGGTCTATTGTCCCTCGACAGCTTCTGGTCCCTATTTTTCTTTCTTCTCTTTCCTTGCATTCACCACCCGCCTCTTCACTTGACCCGTTCCTCTAGGCGTGACGTGACGGCCGACGACGACGACGGCGACGACGACGACATGCCCGAGATCAGAATCTGCACCACAGAGTCCTGTCGGGACTCGGCCAGCTTCTCCTACTATGGCCACCGCCCCAACCTCATCGCCAGCGCCATCTTCATCGGCCTCACCGCCATCGCCCTCATCGCCAACCTCGCCGTAGTCGCCATCAAGCGTAGGCGCGGCTGGTTCGCCTTTTACATCACCTTGGCCTGCGTCTTGCTTTGCTACGCCTGGGGCGTCCGCGTTTTCGACTATCATGGCCGAGGTCCCTGGGCTCTGTGGCCTTGGATGCACAGCACGGCTATTCTGTCCATGGCCCCTATTTTCCTGAGTTGCAGGTACGTCACTAACCACTCCTGACTTCAACACTTCAACATTCCTTAGCTAACCGTCGTCGTACCGTCTTGCCAGTATATTCCTCGTCCTCGGCCCCATCATCCAAACCATCGGAGCCGAACACTCCCCCATCCGCCCCAGCCTCTTCACCAACGTCTTCCTCGCCCTCGACTGCCTCGCCCTCATCCTCCAGGGCGTCGGCTTCGCCCTCGCCTTCCGCAACGTGCACCACGCCATCACCAACGTCAACGCCGAGACCCGCGCCGGCAGTTATATTATCCTCGCCGCCCACGGCATCCAGATCCTCTCCCTCCTCGGCGCCCTCTCCCTGTTCCTCCTCGCCGCCGCCCGCGCCACCGCCCACCGCCGCACCCACGGCTACACCACCTTCCACCGCGACGTCGGCTACGTGGCCCTCCCGCGGGGATTCGTCGCCTGCGCCGCCGCCGTCGCCGCCTCCGCCGCCCTCCTGACCGGCCGCCTGGGCTACCGCGTCGCCCTCCTGCTCGGCGGCATCCGCGGCGTCCTGGCCCGCGACCAGCGCCTCCTGATCACCCTCGACGGCGGCCTCGTCACCCTGGCCATCCTGCTTCTCGTGCTCCTCCACCCGGCCGTCTTCCTCGTCGAGCCGCGCCACCCGCCCGGCCACGGCGCCGGGTCGACCCGCGGCCTTTTCGCGTCGTCCAAGGGCGGCTTTAGCAAGCTTGGCGACGACGCCGAGGCCGTGCCCCTCGAGGAGCATGATGTGAAGGGCAAGGGCGGCGGCCGACGGGACGAGAATATGGACGATGTGAGCGAGGTGCTGCTCCAGCGCGATGGACAGGGCCCGTCGTACCCGTCCGCGTCGTCCCGGTCGCCTGGGTTGCCTTCGGGGTCCTCGATGCTGCACCAGCCTCCCCCGTCTTTCGACCCGCAGCCGAGCGAAGCGAGTCGGTATGAGCCTATGAGGCATGAGAAGCCGGCGCCTGTTGCGGCGCCGGATCCCGTGCCTCAGATGTATGACCACCCTGCCATTCGGGAGGAGGCGGTTAGGCCTTATGGTTCGGGTGGTCTTTGATGAGTTTTCGGGGGGGGGAAAGAACAAAAGTGAAAGAAAGAGAGACGTGTCTTGTTCTGCTGCGGGTGGATGAGATGGTTCGATGAGTCAAGGTATCGCGGAATATGGACATAACTTACAGTGTATTGGTGTCGGTGTTTGGGTGAAGTAGCATATAGTGTCGCGTCAGGACATTGCATGGCGGGCTCTGTTTGGGTTTTTTTTTTCTTCTTTTCTCTTTTCTTTTCTTTCCTTGTTATCTATCTCTTTACATCGATGGGATGAGTCTGTGAAAACATTCCATCTCAAACCCAAGGTAGCTTGTCATGATACCCTGAACTCCATCACATCACTTCATACGTCGTGTTGATATGGGATTTCATGAAACGCGACCTGAGGTTATATTCTTCGTCTTCGCAGTGGAATTCCATCTCCTCGGCTTCAGTCAACCGAGACAACGGCAACGACGGACAACCTTGGAACCTCAGGACGGCTTCTGGCATAGGTACCGGTACGTATAATGACAGAAGATACCCAGAACCGAATGCCGATATGATATGACGACAGTCGTGGCACATCAAGGCCCAACCCAGCCTACTTAGTAACTCGGTGACTTCTCGTCATGACCTCTGAGGTATCTGACGGCGGGTCGTGGATGACGCATCATCGATGATGGGAAGTACTTTCGTCAATGGGGGGCGAAAGGGCAAGGTCAGCGGACAGGGGGACGGGAAAACAAATGATGATAGCCGCCATTTCAGGTGAGCCTAGCTGTTCGGAGAGCGATCGGCGTGCCCAACTCCGGTTCGGCAGGTGACCGAGACGGGACCTTGATGGTCTGGGGGGGGTTGACGTTGCGTCGCACTTGTCGTTGTCGTGATGTTCGATTTTATATGTTACGGTCTCCTCCCTCTCTGGACGGCATTTGTCCTCGATAAACAATTCTCTGATTTCCAGGTCAGGAAACTTGCGCAGTACACTTACAAGGAAACAAACAGCAAAAGAGGCCAGTTGATTTGTTGACTCGGTGTGTTCTGTCCGGGGCCCTTGTCTCTCACCTGAGACACACCTGGGGCCCGAGTTGAATTCTGCGTGTACGGATCGTCATAAGCCGTGCAAAGGCTGATGGGCCCGTTGATAACAAAGTATCCGTAAAAATACTCTTCTTCGTGTTGTCGAGCTCCTGTCGTTGACTCCAAGTTCCTTCGTCCTCCCATATCCAGTTCCAGCCTCCCCGAGCCACCCCGCTTGGACCACCTAGTACGGATAGGGATACATGTACCGTCTCTAGGTCACGTTATTGATACTGTATATCATGGCCCCGAAACTTAAAAACACAGTGCACTGTATAGTATGAGGTACGCACTTCTTCACAAATTTGCTGTATCCATGTATTATCGATTGACCGCATCACAGTGCCCGTGTAGAGTCATAAACGGAGTACGAAATGGTCTGGTGTCGCCGTGTCGGGAACTCTTGCCTCCACCTCTCTCCACCCCAGGTTCAATCCTGCCACTTCTGCCACTTCTGCCACGAACCCCCCCCCCTATCAAGCCATACTTTTCCTCAGCTTCTGCCACAGTTCTGCTTCTACTTCGTACATACCTACCTACTCACTTCACTCACTTCACTCACTTTCACTCACTTCACTTCCAGGCTCGCATACCCTCACCTCAAACCCATTCAATCTGCTGCTGGACCTTTCTCGCTTTATTGATCCGTTATCCTAAACCCCCAATCGGTATCAGGAAAAAATCTTTTCATGATTCGCTCTCTTTCATCCCTCCAAACCGAATAATCCGTGACCGGGCTCGGGTTTCGGTACTCCGTACACGTACACGTACACGTACACGTACATAGGTATTAACATACTTTGTACTGCGCCTCCCGAATCCGCGACACGCCCCCGTGTTGTTTTCCCCCGCCGCCGCAAAGCCACTTCCCACTTGTTACTACCTCGCTCCAACCCGCCCTTCGCCTCATCGCCTCACACTCGACTCGCATCGCCTCACCCGCACCTCCAACTTTTCCCCCCCTCCTACTCCGACTCAACCCACACTTTGGGGAACAAGCTACGCATACACCACCCGCATTTTGAACGCTGTGGCGAGAGCTTTATCAGCCACATCAACTTGCAACACCCAAACACGATACGACCGTCGAGCTCTATCCCATCCACCTCCGTCATTTCGCATTTCGGACCCGAGATTGAGTATCAATTATATGCTTATTGCTCTCTCTTCTCCAGTCGATGAAGCTGTAAAAAGAACAAAGAAAAAAGGTCCGCGCCGATCCCGATTCCCGCTGTAATCCCGAACGGGGCCATCTTGCTCTCCTTGCTCTTTGCTCTCTCCCTACACGGCTGCTTCCCATTGCGCCGAACCGGTCGACCGGACGAACGAAGCCTTGCTGGATTCTTTTGCCTTCCCGCCTGCGCCCATGGCTTCTGATAAGGGCTCCAGCGCGACTCTCAACCCCGTCCCCGACGCCACTTCAGTCGCCCTCCCACAAGCTTCCCCGTCTCCACGACCACCGCCATCTGAACCTCTTCCCGCCGATTTGACCCGGTCACGGTCTCTTAAGCGAAGCCGCGAGACAACTCCGACCTCTCCCAGCTCCGCTCTCGCCGGGGAACACCACCGACATACGGGCTTTGGCTCCCCGACCAAGTTGGCGCGATTGAACCTCGCCGCCGCTCGCTCACCTGCGCCACCCGTGACCGGCGCCGCCGTTCTCGAAGAGCAGCGACGTCAAAGGGAAGAGGAGGAAGCAGAAGAATCGCGACTACACCCACCCGGCACGAGCGACAACCCGAACCACGGTGTCCTGTCTGCGCTGGCAGGGGACGCCACCGCCGCCATGAGCCGATCCATCGATGCCCCGCAGGCTCCCACCGCATCCATGGACCCAACTCCCGAAGAATCACAACCACCGCCACCGCCACCGCAACAGCAGCAGCAGCAACAAGAACAACAACAGCAGCAGCAACAGCAACAACAACAGCAACAGCAGCAGCAACAGCAACAGCAACAACAACATCATCAACAACATCAACATCAACATCCTACTCCTCCCCCACCCCCTCCTCATACTGCCGTTTCGATCACCCAGCCAAACCCCAATGGACCTGGCGACACCGGCGACACCGGCGACCCGAGTCTCGCTGGCGCTTTGGTTACCGCCAGTCCTGGTCCCATGGACGTCGACACAAACGTCGACCACAACGTCGGTCCGAACCTCGCCAACGACCAAGCCTCCTCATCGCAGCACCACCCCGCCCTCCCGCCACCGCCGTCCCAGGAAGACAGGCCTGGGCCCTCCGGCGCACTCTCCTATCCGGGCTCGCTACAACCCAGCCATGCCTCCATGTTGCCCGCCGCGCCAGCCCGTACCGGGAGCTTCCCCGTCTCCGCCCAGGCCTCGCCGGGCCAGCCGGGCGGGAAGAAGCACAAGTGTCCTTACTGCGAGACCGAGTTCACGCGACACCACAACCTGAAGAGCCACCTCCTTACGCACAGTCAAGAAAAGCCGTTTGTGTGCCAGCAGTGCGACGCGCGGTTCCGTCGTCTGCACGACCTGAAACGCCACAGCAAGCTCCACACGGGCGAAAAACCTCACATCTGCCCCAAGTGCAACCGGAAATTCGCGAGAGGCGACGCCCTGGCGCGCCACCTCAAGGGCGCCGGCGGTTGCGCCGGCAGGCGTTCTAGCATGGGCAGCTTCGCCGACGGGGATAGTATGGACACCTCGATGCACGCCGGTGACGACTCCATGACCGGCGCCGCCTACTCCACCGACCACCCCGGCGACCAGAGCGGCGCCATGACCGAGGAAGAGAGGAGGCAACAGCACATGAACCTGCCGAGCATCAAGCCGTCGTCGTCATCCTCCCACGGCCCTGGTCACGGTCACGGCGGCGCGTCGTCTTCGGCCTCGGATGCTTATGCTGCGACTGCGACTGTGCCTGCGACTGCGACTGCGACTGCGACTGCGGCGCAGGCCCGGACGTACCCGCCCGCAGGCTCCCTCGAGAGGCCGCATGGCGGGTTGTATCCGCCACTTGTGCCGCAGGAACGTGGGGCCGCCGCCGTCTCGACTGCGGCATCGTCGGGTAACGGGTCGTCTATGCCTATTCACGGCGGGGGGGGCTCTGCCTTGTACTCCCAGAATAGCAATCCTGGCGTGACGGAGAGCCCGAAGCCGCTGAGTCCCGGCAGTCAGCGTTCTCCCAGCCTAGCGCAGCAGCAGTATCAGCAACAGCAGCAACACTTTGGCCGAAGGACCTCTGAGCGAAACACGTCTCCAGGTTCGTTTACCCGTAACAACGCCTCTGATGGAGCTACGACGGAGTAGACCGTAGAGTAGTAGCAAGCAAGATCGCTAACGTGGTAATTCTCGCAGGGTTTCCGTCCCCGGGCCAACCCAGCAACAGCGGCGCTCCGCACGCGCGTACGGCATCGACCGGCGGCGGCGGCACGATGGACAACGCGACCAACATGTTCACCTCGGACCCAGGACTATGGACATATATCCAGTGCCTCGAGGACCGGGTGCAGCAGCTCTCGGAGAGCGTGACGAGCATGCAAAAGGCCGACAACGCGAAGCAGGCGCAGATCGGGCTGCTGACGACCGAGATGACGGCGTTGAAGAAGCAGTTGCAGAACCAGGAGGCCGAGGCGGCGACGAGGCAGGCGCAGATTGGCTTGTTGACGGCGGAGATTACGGAGTTGAAGAAGTTGCAGCCGCAGCAGCCGCAGCACCAGCACCAGCACCAGCAGGGCCACGACCTGGAGGAGAATACATCTGCCAGGCCATGATGGGACAAGATTGGAGGGTGTTTGGTGCACTTTTTCTTTTCCGCGCATGTGTTACATTTTGCGCCGCTGTGCCATTCTATATACACTGCGTTACTGCCGTAGTTATACGGATAGGTCAAAAGGAACGAGTGTTGGTACAAAGTGTCACGGACGTGGACGGGGACGGGGACGGGACGGGGACGGGGCTGGGGAATATGTGGTAATTACGGCGTGGCTTATGTTTACAAGAGCGGACATTGAGAGAGCGGGCAGGTTTACACCCCCTCTCGGGGGCCACTGTCCCCTCTTCCCGGTTGTGGTTTTCGAAACGGCGCATATCCTTGTTTTCTGTGTCCGGGTCTCCCCTTTTTTTCTCCTTATTCTCTCTCTCGCTTGTTTGTTTATTCTTACATTTCATCAGCCTTTCGGATATCCCTTGTTTTGTTTCTTCTTTCTCTTCATTCCCACTTGCCAGGCGTTTGTTTCATGGGCAGGCGGAGGGTTGAGGGTGTTGTATTGAGGGTGTTGTATTGAGGGTGTTGTATTGAGGGTGTTGTATTGAGGGTGCGGGATCGCACGAGACTCCCCGGGACAGGGCGGGGCGGGGCGAGGGTGAAAAGATATTCATGGCTTTGTTTCGACGGGGGTAGAGGGCCATTGTTATTGTTGCTTTTTTACTCTCGCTTGTGATGCAGACCGGAGGCCTGGTCTGCTCATCTAGAATAGTTTAGCAGATGGGTTTTCGCAAGAAAAGCTGGCTCGCTGTTGGGATCCCTTATTTTGCCTTCCCGCTCGCGCACCCTTGACGTATATCGTGAGCTGTGGGTGTTGTATGGTCGATGCTGTGGTCTGGTCGATCAAGACAATGTGGGTTATTATGCACACCTCGTATAGCTATTAGGTCGTTCAGTGGCACGGCTCTCGTGGCGGCGCCCGGTATACCCAGGGCAGCGAGCCTAGGTTGGAGGGGGGGGTTAAACAAAGCTGTATAATTATATCATGTCTTGATGGCAGACTCCAAATGTCGCCCCTTGGAAACGGAGAGCCGGACAGCTAGTTTCCTTGCTGCAACGGTGTTGGACTCATTGAAGTCGCCGCCGCTCGTCCACGTACTCTCTCTCAACTTGATGTGATCTAGGCACGGGGACCTCGAAAAGCGATTCGGAGCACTAAGAAGGTGCGGCGGCCCTGACTGGACTCGAGAGATGTTCTGTGAAGGGCATCGAATGCTTTCTTGTGGTGTAAGTCTAGATTACTCTGGGCAGTGCGGTAGTGGCTGTCTATGAGTGAACCGAAGAATGAAGACTACGTAACGTAAGATTAAAGACATCTGTGATCTACCTACCACCCACTAGTAGCTATGACTGCTCATAATAAATAAGTTGAGGCTCTGATGATGTAGCCCTAGCCCTCTGACTATACACTGTTCGATGGAAGTGTCCCCTGAAAAGCGACACCCGCGCAGAATTCCCAGTACGGACGGAATAGGTTGGCATCTATATGACTACTCCCAACGTTCCCAACACTCTCAACTGTCTCGAAGACATAGGTCCCCTGTGATATTAAATTATTGTATGTATTCAGATCCCATCCCGTGAACCTGCCTGTCTACCGACTGCGTTATGTGGGATTTACCGGAGATTCATTCCCTCTATCCATCCACCTATCAAGTGCCTAACAGGCAGGACGCCTACCTTATGCGTACAGTTTATGGCTTAACTTGGTGAGACTTCCATTTCGAGTCAGTTCCTTATTCGACCGACAGACTCGAACTCGACATCGCCCGCCCTGTCGAGGAATGAATACACGCCCTCGTTCAGGTCGCAACGAGCCACGAGCCCAAGGACTAGAATCTAGCACTCGCTTCCCCCTCCCCCTTGGGCATTCCGAAGTTTCCGTCGGGCGAGAATTCCAGAGTCCTTCGGAGTTACCTGTACATATGTGTTCATGCTCCATGGCGGTCATGCACAATTTCCAGACACGGCCCGAGATGCAGCAACGCCTGATGATGCTCGGTGGTGGAGACGACGCGGTTGCATGGCGGTGAAGACGAGCAAGAACAGGACAACAGGACAACAGGACCACAGGACAACAGGACCACAGGACCACAGGACCACAGGACCACAGGACCACCGGACCACCTAGGGAGACCGGGGTGGGCCACAGGAATCTGCCGGACCTAAAGCCTTGTGCCTGTTGATTTGCTGTCGTAAGCGCGTCCCTCGATGATTGCTCCATAGTTTTGTCTCGTGTTTTTACTTGGAGTCTCGAGACGCGGGCAATAAGGAGTACGAAGTAATTAGTTATTACATGCACAATTCTGGAGATGAGAAAGTCCCCATCAAAGAAAAGACCCGGGGTATTGTCGACGTTGCTGGCATTGGGTGGTAACACGTGGTTGTGCATGTGATCCGCTTTCCTCTTGGGTTTTCTTGGGCAATTATCAACGGAGCAGAGTTTTGACGATTTTGCCGATTTGTGAGGGCCGTCTTCGTGTTCTTCCCAGATGTGAGTCAACCCGGAGAGCTGCAAGGACGGAGAGCTTGCATGAGATGAGTGAAACTGCGTTGGAACTCGGCTTTGGCAGACAACGTAGACGCAAAAAAAAAAAAAAAAAAAGGACTTGGAGATGATGGAGATGATCCGAACAAGATGCGTTGTAATTACAGTGACAGCGTACTCGAGACGACTGCCGAGGAAGTGGAACGTTGAAGAGGACTCGAGGAGGGTCCCCCGGTCCAAGAAGGGGGGGGTCTGAAGGTGTGGCGATCAGATCAGTGGGTGTTGAGTGACAATAATGGTGGGCACACTGGATGAGTTGGCAGCTAATAGCGGGGGGAACAAGTGGAATGACTAATAAGAAGAGGGCGAGCAATGCGATGGTATTCGTTGGAGAAACGATAGCGGGGAAAGGTAAAGTCAAAGTAAAAGTGGGGACCCCAGCCACCGGGACGCAACGGATTGGTACCTTAATGTACTCTGGTGCCTAATAATGCTATGAATTCTGGGCCAATGGTACGCGTCAGTACATAGGGCTACGCGAACCAGGCTTGTCGTCGCGTCGTCGCCTCATGAGGCACCACCGGACCTCCTGTGAACGGTGGAGAGGACGTTCTGTCGAGGCGCTAAACGGCTTGTCCCGCTGGGGATTCAGCTTGGGGGTGTCTATAGCTAGGTACGTACCTACACCGAGAGCAGCAGCAGAGGTAGGTGCTGGTGCCCAGCTCCTGCATCTGAACAAAAGGGAAAAAACAGCAACACCGCCAAATGAATTCTCCGTCATCTCGTCCAACCTCGACCATCACAATCACGTCTCTCTCATCTCTGTCTAGCCTTTTCGACGGCCGACAAAGAAACACAACGCAACGAAACACAACAACTAATAAAGAATAGAATCCAACAAATCTCGAAATCGAAAAGTTTCGAATCGCCAAGAGCTAAAGAGATATAGGAGATCGCCAATGCTCACGACAGCATCCAGCCGCCCCCCGCCACCAAGATGATGAGAGATCCTCGTCGCGGGAGCCTTGAGAGCTCCCGGCGACGGAAGAAGGAGCGGCGTCGCTCTCCCGATTCCCAGAATCCTGCCGCCGTCCCCGTCGCCGACGTTCCTCGTTCTGGAATGCCAGCACCCATTCCTGGCCCCATGTCCCAAGGTGCTCAGACGGACGAGAATGGAACTCCGAGACCCTACGCGCAGTCTCGATCGGATCCGCGATATCCGCCGCAGACGCAGTACCCGTACCAGCAGCAGCCTTATCCGCAGCAGCCTTACCACCAGCAACAGTCTTACCAGCAGCAGCAGCAGCAGCCGCCTTACCAGACTCAGCCATATCCGCAACCTCCCTACCGCCCCGACCAGTACCAGTCGCAGCAGCAGTACTACCAGAACTACCAGCAGTACCCCCCGCAGCAATATCAACAAACCCCCCAGCAACTCCCGCAGCAATATCCACCGCAGCGATATCAACAGACGCCCCAGCAAACGCCCCAGCAGACCCCTCAGCAAACCCCTCAGCAGTATCACCAGGCGTATCCCCAGCAGTATCCCCAACCGTACGCCCACCAGCAACCCCCTCAGGCGTACGGCTACCAGCCCCACACGCCTCAGTACCCGCTCCCTTTGTCGCAACCCCAGCAGGACCCGTACGCCTGGGATCGCCCCGGTCACGCCTCGGATAGCTCGTCCGACACCTCGTCCTCCTTCGTCAACATCTCGCGGAAAGGTCCCAAGCCCGAAAAACTCGGCGGCATCATCAGCACCTTCTTCCGCGCCCCGTCCGAAAACCGCCACCGTGGCCGCCGAAGCCGAAGCCGAACCCGAACGCGAAGCCGAAGAAAGAAGAGCAACACCCGCTTCCTCTCCTTCGCCAACTCGTCCTCCTCCTCCGTCGACTCCGACCTGGCATACGGCCCAGGCTACATTCCTCGCCCCGATGGGTACGTCCAAACCCCCTCCGTGCGAACCAGCAAACCGGGCCCGGCTTCCATCATGCACACCCCGCGGGGCCCCCAGCCTTCCCACCCCGCCGACTTCAACAGGCCTCACCCCGTGGCCCGCACCAAGACCGACGAGGAGATCCTGGAGATTGGACGCCAGCTCTCCGACATTGCCAGGAATCAGAACGACGCCGACCTGCGTGCCTCCGGAAAGTCTCGCCCTTCCCAGCTCGTCTCGGCCGCCGCCGCCATCACCAACTTCCGTCGCTCCAAGAAGGACGGCTCGGGCCGCCGCCGCCAGCATGGTTCCAAACTGCCCGGTGACGCTGACGATTCGGAGTGGGAGTCGGCCTCGGACGACGAAGCCAGCGACGAGGGCGATGCCAGCCTCGTCTACGGCTCGGCCGCCCATTCGCCTGTGAACACGGCCAAATATCCTCCTCCCAGCCAGTACACGAAGGACCCCGTCGAACCTCGTCACGAATCTCGTCATTCTCAGTATCGGCAGCACCAAGAGGAAGCCGCTGCTGCCGCTGCCGCTGCCGCTGCCGCCGGCATCGCCGCCGCCGCTGTGGCCGCCGCACGCGCGTCGCCCCGGAAATCGGACGAGGAGAAGGAGAAGGAGCCCATGCAGCATGTCTACCCGGTTCCGACCTCGGATCCCAACTCTTTCGACTATGACCGTGCGTCTGTCGCGGCCGACCGCCCTGTACGCCGAGAGGATCTAGAAGACCGTGACCGTGACCGTGGCCGTGGTCGACGACGCGATGGGGATGACGGTCATCGATCAGCTCGTGATGGCAATGTGATACTCGTAGACGAACGAGACCAACAGCTAGTCGAACCTGTCGAACCAGTCGAATCTGTCGAAGCACCACGGGATGACGAGCGTGCCAGAGAGCTGCCGATCGAAGACAGAGGGCTGCCGAGCGAACAGACGCCAAAGGAGATTCAAATGGCGGAAGTCATCGAAACCCCTGAACCTCCCGCAGATGTTGACCCGTTCCGATTCCAGGTCGCCGACGATGCCTTCCGAACCCCTCCCGTCATGGAGGCCGCACCCCAGCGGCCCTTGACCCCACAGGTCTTCACCGTCGACCGCGAGCCTACTTTCGACGATTCCCCGCCCAATGCCAGGCTCAGCCGCAAGGATTCCTACGAGATGGAGCAACGCATGTCCCAGTACTACCACCAGGGCTCCCGGAGTCGATCGCGGACACCCCAGCCCCGCCGCAGGGTGGAAGATGAGGGCGAGGAACGCGCCAGGGACTTTGCCCACGAGTCTGATCATGCTGCTGCCGCCGCCGCCGCCGCCGCCGCCGCTCCGGTGCCTGACGAGCCGGCGATTGTCATGGAGGACGAGGAGCGGTCCCGAGGACGGTCCCGAGGACGTTCCCGTTCCCGTTCCCGTGCGCGTGACGCCGACGACGGCTCCCGGTACAGATCCGAGCGCGACCGCGATTCCGTCCAGGAAGAGGCCGACAGGCACTACCGCGAGACCGTCATGGCCCGCAAGATTGCCGCAGACGAGATTCGATCCCGCAGTTCGTCGCCGAGGAGGTCCGTCGTGGATAAATACAAGGAGGGCGAAGAGGCGGAGGAGGAGGAGCCCCGGGTCATCACCATCGTCCCGCCGCCCGAGGTCGAGAAGGAGCGCGACACGAGCCCCTACGATGGTCCCAACGCCGATGTCCGCATCGACCACATCCTCGTCCCCCGCGACCTCCAGCGCTTCAGCGTCTCTGACGATCAGCTGTCCGCCGACGCCGAGCCCATCTTCAAGTCCCGTGACCCTTCGTGCGAACGGGAGCGCCCCTTGCTCAACCTTGTTCTTCCCACCCCTCTCGCCACGCCCCGTGCTACGCCCTCGCCCGAGAAGCAGGCCGAAGTCGCTGCCCGCGAGGTCGCCGCCGAAGCGGCCGAGCCAGCCGAACCCACGCAAGTGCCTGACGTTATTCTTGGCCCGCGGGGCGAGCAGGACGAGCAGGACGAGGAGAAGGCCGCCGACGAAGATGGTGACAAGCCGCGGTCCGTGCTTGGCCAAGGCAGCCGATGGGGCATCCTCGCTGCCGCCCTCGCCGGTGGCGCAGCATTATCCTACGATGGGGACTCCGCTGCCGCCGATGCGCCTGCCGCCGACGGACCCGGCGGGGAGGAGGAGGACGCCTTCGCCCCCAAGGCCCCCGAGGAGGAGCCCATCATCGTCGACGCTCACCCGCCCCTGGACGAGGACGACGACCGCCCCCCGACGCCCGGCCCCAAGCCGCCCAGCCGGCAACCGTCGCCGATGCCCGGGTCCTTCGACGACGACCTGGAATTCACGTCCGTGCTCGCTGCCGGCTTGCAGGACTCCGGCTTCGACCCCAACATCGTCATCGACGACCCCACGTACCGGATACGCGACAGCCCGCCGGGATCCAACGAGTTTGAGTCGTCCGGTCCCTTTGAACAGCCTCCCGTGCTCGACTCGGTGGCGGACCGGGGCTTGGATTTTGCTGATGGCCCTGGGGACGACGGTACGCCCGAGGGCGGCTTCGTCGACGCGCAGGAGGATATCCCTCCCCAGGACGCGCAGCCTTTGGACGGTGAGAGCTGGGGTTCCGAGGAGCGCAGGTTGGCTGATGAGACGCAACCTTCTGAGGACTGGCAGTTTGCTGGGGACTCCCAGCGTGGCGTGGACGCTTCGGAGCCCGTTGAGGACTGGCAGGTTGCTGCGGAGGCGCCTCTTGTTGAGGATCGGAAAGCTGCTGAGGAAGCACCGCCTGTTGGGGACTGGCAAGCCGCCGAGGAAGCGCCTCCCGTTCCGGACTGGCAAGCCGCCGAGGATGCGCCTCCTGCCGATGACTGGAAAGTCGGTGATGAAGCGCCTCCTGCTGATGACTGGAAAGTCGGTGATGAAGCCCCTCCTGCCGAGGAACCAAAACCGGCCGAGGAAGCGCCGCCTGCTGAGAAATCGGCCGAGGACACGACGCCCGAGGACTGGCAGGCGGCCGAGGAGACGCAGCCCCCCAAGGAGCCGACGCCGGCCGACGCGACGCAACCTGCCGATGACTGGCAGCTCGCCGAAGAGACGCAACCCGTCGAGCCGACCCAACCCGCCGACGACGCGGAACCTCTCGACAAGTCGCAACCGGACGAGGAGCCGCAACCCGTCGCCGAGGCGCCGCCT